CCCTAAAAACTGCAAAGTTACACATATGATTTAACAATCTATTATGACCACATTTTAAACTAAGTGATATGTGGAAAATGTTTGTCTGAAGATTTGGAAATAAAACTATTTATTGATTTCTAATGCCACCTTTTAGATAATTCTATTCACCCTAATGTGGCACAATCATGTTTTTGAGTACAAATATCTTCATTTGGGGGCTATTCCAAGCAAATATTGATATGTCATTGTTTGCGATTACATCAGCATATATATTTGCCACCTGTGGCCTCTAGCAGTGTAATTGCAGATTGCAACTCCATTGCTTCACCCTCCCCTACCAAGCACGAAGGAGAAACTACGGTGGCTGCGAAATACCAAAAAAACACAAATGTCCCTGTCTACAGTCATTGTTTGTGTTGTCCCTTCTGGGCTACTGTAGAAACATTTAGCAGTGTTTTGTGGTTTAACAATGTATACTCCATGGAAGCCGACTGTCGTTAAAAACAGCTCATTCTAAGGTAACAGAAACACAACAATTCCTATATTCAGGTGATTATACACTAATGAAAACATATCATATTCCAGTATATTCCATTTCTGTCAATAGATCCTCCTGAATGTTACACACTGGACCGTTAAAGTCTCCATGCCACCCTCTGGCCCCCCTATGAATATTTCTCGCGATCTGCCTCGCAGGTGCTTCAACATCTGTTGCCTGGTGAAGATCTGCACTCTTATAGATACAGACAAACAATGTATAGCTTCGTTTGAATCTATTGTATGTTGTATGCTGGTGCATTTGCAGCCATTTTGCCAATAAGACCCGAGTTCCCCTGAAAACAATATTTGTGAAATTAAGGGGGGGTCTCTAAAATATATATAGTATATTAAATGCAATTTTTGCCATGCATTTCTATTTTGGTGTATTTATCATCATAGATCATGCATAAAAATGAGGCTATTATTGACATATATGTATGTCATTAAGGAATTATTAATTAATATCAGATGTACTGACATAGAGCAAGTAGGCCTACATTATTAAAGCTATGAATGTTTCTTTGAAACTAGTCCCCCCTTCCAAAAAAAAGGAAGCTCCCCCAAAGCCATTGTATAATCCGCAGACTCATCCTTATGTCTTAAATTGCATTCATAATGGTCTTAAAGAGGTCTTAAAAGTCTTAAATTCAACCTGTTGAAACCTGCAGAAACCCCGGTATAAGTGATGTGTTGTTGATGCACCAGTCAGCTCTATGAGTCAGCTCCTTAAAGTAAACGATGCGAGCCGGAGCCCGTCTGAGAACTTATTACAGTCCAGAAATGTCTCACTAAATTCCATTATGGACTAATCAAATAACGCTGAGACTTTTGTATATGTATGTATTGTAAAACATAGTTTAATGTAAATAAAACATTCCATAGACGTGATGTTTTTATTCAAGGTTTTTATACCATGCATAATGTAACTGTGGTATTCTGGAAATGATATGGTTTAGTACATTAAATAATTGAAGTGATTGAAGTGCTTTATGTTTACACATCAGGTCAAGATATTGCTAGATTTTGCTGAGATATCTGGTTCACTAAAAACAGCCAGAATACCCATCACTACCTGGTATGTATGTGTATATAGTTTGTGTTGTTGTTTGAACAAATTTTACTATGCTATATACCTGAGGTGTTACTATTATTTTGTCCACAAAGTCAATAAAATTAGAAATGTAGTAGATCCCCTCAGACTGTGGTCAAATAAAAGGAGAAAAAAGAAGAAAATGTGTTTTGTAAAAGATTGAAAATATACCAGTGTACCATTTTTTTCCTGAATATGAAGTTTTTATGTACCACCATACAGTTACAAAGCTGAAATAACTCATTTGTTTCATTTACAATAGAACATGTTATATCAATTGTGTGGTGTTTTACAACTTTTTAAATAAAAAAGTTAACTTCAATTAGTAAGTAAACATCTCCACATTTTGTTTTATGTCATCGTAAATGTTGACAGTAGAATAATCAACTATATCCCTATATACCTTTTATAAAAGCCCAGTCATACAAAAAAACCTTCATATACCATGAAACCACCAGAATTTAAAGAAAGTACAGTCATACAAATTTTTGTTTATACCGCCCACTATTGTATTACAATTTAAAGATGTTTGGGTTATTGTTGTATCTGTAAAGTGGAGTAAAGCGTTGTATTCTTTTAACTGTACAATTATAGTTGCGTATTCTATTGTGACAAAGTGTATGTATCAGAAAAGTAGGCAAAAAAATAAAATGATATTCATTGATTAAAACAATATTTTTTATAAATAAAGTAGGTTTTCACATACAAGGAATTTGCCTTGGCAAGTTGGTGCATAACAATTAAAAAATATAAATAAAAATAGAGAGTAAAAAGAGACTATATAATAAAATATTTTAAAAAATATAGAAACAATAAGTGCAATATGGCAAATAGATAAATCAGTGAATAGCTGTACAGGAATGTGCAAATTCATAGTATGACGCATAAAGGATATTTGCATTGTCCATGGGAAGTGCATTAATGTAACGCAATGCTCAAATAGGTAATGCTGAACATACAACTGCAACGAAACAGAGACTTACCCTTTATCACAGTCTCAAAGTTTAACAATACTACAAACCCTAAAGACATTTTTTTTAACTTGTTTAGGTAAAACTCGGCTGCGAGGCACCCAACTCCAAGCTGGTAAAGGTGCCTGATGTCCCCCGGTGGAGCAGCAGTTTCAGCAACATGACAAATATGCCTCCTGGTGCCAGGATCCGAACTGGAGACGAGTGCCGCCTCCTGGATTTTGAGTCATCAGATCGCCCTCTGGTGGTCAACTTTGGCTCGGCCACCTGACCCCCCTTCATCAGCCACCTGCCAGCTTTCCGGCAGTTGGTGGAGGACTTCAGTGACGTCGCTGATTTCCTGCTAGTGTACATTGATGAGGCTCACCCATCTGACGGCTGGGTGGCCCCTCCCATGGGCCCTTGCTCTTTCAGTGTGCGGAAGCATCAGAACCTGGAGGAGAGGATAGGGGCGGCGCGCCAACTCATTGAGCAGTTTTCCCTGCCACCGCAGTGTCAGCTGGTCGCTGACTGCATGGACAACAATGCTAATGTGGCTTATGGTGTGTCCAATGAACGGGTGTGTATAGTGCAACAGAGAAAGATTGCCTACCTGGGTGGGAAGGGGCCTTTTTTTTACAATCTGAAGGATGTGCGGCAGTGGCTGGAACAGAGCTACGGTAAACGGTAATGAAAGGAGGAATGAAGGACAAATACAGAGGAGGACATGTCCCATATTTAAGTAGGGAAATAAGAGCTTGTTCGGTTTTGTATAAAGACAAATCAAAAGGCGTGTTATGGTCAGTAGTGGAAAGTACATTTACTCAAGTACTGTCAAGTAAGGTACTTTTGATTGAGTACTTCCGTTTTATACTATGCTCCACTACAATTCTGAGGGAAATATTTTTGCTCCACAACATTTATTTGATAATTTTTTTCTGGTTACCTTGCAGCTTCAGATAATAATACAAAATATAATCGACCAATACATGATTATGTATTATTATTATGAGACAAAACTTTATTGATCCCAATTCTATGGTTGTGTGTTGGTAAGACTCTGGCAATACGATATGTATCATTATACAGGGGTTACAGGGCAATTTTTTTTAAAACAACACATTTTAGGAATACTGTCATGGTATAGGATTTAGTACAGTGTTTTTGAGAATTGATATAATATTACAAAACAAAATATTGTCATGCGATATTTTGGAACATTTCTCACACCTGGCAATATATATCAGGACATTAATGCATCCATAATTATTCAATTCCATTAAATTTTATTTGTTTAGCGCCAAATCATAACAGAAGTTATCTCAGGACACTTTTCAAAATAGAAAAGACATTACCTTATAATTATTTACAGAGACCAACAGTTCCGACCCATGAGCAAGCACTTTGGCGACCGGCGGCAAACGAAAAACTTCTTTTCTGACAATTAATAATTCATTAATAATAATATATACCATTACCCAGAAACGTGTCCCATTCCTTGGCATTTACTTTTTTGTAACTTTTAGTATATTTTGAGCTAAATACATTTTGTACTTTTATTGAAGGTAATAAATTTCAAATGCAGGAATTTTTTCATTCATGCTGCTAAAAGTCATCACAATTTAGTTTGGAAGTCCAAATCTTGGTACAGTAATGAAGAAAGCATTCTACAGTATGATGTAGAAAACCTGAAGCCACCAGTGCTCATCCACTGAGAATGGACCTTTAAGTGAAAGTAGGAGAGCATCTTCTTGTGTCCAGCAGGAAAACTAGGAAATTATACGTTTTTTGCAGAAACAACATATCAGACACACATTATTGTTCCAAGCAGACTATAGTGTCTATGTGTCCTAATACATGTCTGGAGGGGATATTTAAGTAAAAGATCTGAGTACTTCTAACACCACTGGTTATGGTAATATACTGGACGAGCCCCCATTATGTTACGACTGGTTCAAAGGCTGCAACATAAAGAGGGACACCGGGTAATGCAAGAATGTAATTTATTTACCAAAAAAACAAAATGGAAAAATTAGCAGAACAAACAAAGAGCTGGTGTTGCTGTAGGGAGCCAAGAGAGTGTGGGCGGAGTAAAGAGCCATTTAAATAGCCCACAAACTCAAACAGGCGTCTTTCATTTGGGATCAGTGAGCATCTAGGACACAAAAAGGACCCAGACTGACTATAAATAACAATGCCAAAAAGCAATATTGACTTAACATTTGACATTTGATCAGACCAACTTTTCGCACATGGATCTATTCAGACTGAGATGAACATTTGCAAAGACCCACATTGATAATAATCCAGCAACAAGGCAGCAAGTTGACATCAAGTTGACAGTGTTTGTGTATCTGTATTCATGCCCACTTTTGCTGCTGATTTCCACAGAAATTTTAAACCAAACAACTGAAGTAGGGAAGAAATCACAATATTTTTTAAATATGTTTTAAAGTAATACGTTTTTAATAGAGATTTTAATATTGGAATTTTTCCACTGGTCATATGTTTTTATGCACTTTGTCAAATTAAGTTCCTTCCTCTTTGGATAAACATTCGTTCGTACAGTACATACTGGCCATGGTTCTGCATCTGACAGCTCTACATAGTTTTTTTCCTTTCCGCATAGTCTCTATAAAAAACATTTACCCATTTGGATGTTTTCATATTTACAATATTAAATTAAAGTAGATATGATGTGGCTTTTTTTACACTGATCAACAGAAAAATAACCTTTGTAAAAGTGAAAACAGATATTTCCAGTGTGATCTAAGTAGTCAGGATTTAGTTAATGCACCTTTGGGAGCTGTTACAACCTTGATTCTGTGTGGATATGTCGTGGTAGGTTATGCTTCGCACATCTGGACAGTGCCATTTTCCCCCCATTCCTCTTCACAAAACTGCTCAAGCTCTTGTCAGGTTGCATGGAGATTGTGAGTGAACAGCCTTTGCCAGTCCAGCCACAAATTCCTGACTGGATTGGGATCTGGTCTCTGACTCAGCCACTCCAGGACTTACATTTTGTTGTTTTTAAGTTATTCCTGTGCAGCTTTGGCTACTAGGGCTTATTTCCTCATGCTGAACAAACAAATCTTGTCTTAAGTTGCAGGTTTCTTGCAGACTGCATCAGGTTTTCCTGCAAGATTTCTCTGTATTTTTCTGCATTCGTTTCACCCTCTACCCTCACAAGCCTGCTGCAGAGAAGCAAACCCAGCAGCATGGCCCACACCAGACATTGTGTTTAGTGTAATGTACAAAAAGCTCAGTTTTGGTCCCATCAGACCATAGAACCTTCTTCCAGCTGACTGCAGAGTCTCCCACATACCTTCTGGCTAACTGTGGCCCAGATGTCATGTGAGTTTTTTTAAGCGTGGCTTTCTCTTTTCCACTTTCCCACAAAGTTGTGAATGGTAGAGTCATCAGCGTTTACCGCCCTCACTAGCCTCCTTACACATTTCCTCAGTTTCTGTGGATAGTCTGCTTTAGAAGCTATGTTTTTTTCTATTTTCATTGTTCGAATTACGGGCTTAGTTCCTCCAACATGACCAGGGCTTCTGGGGGCTCCGGTCCTAAATCATTTAGGCTTTTAAAATAACTTCCCCTCAGTCTCTCTGACTGGACCAGAGTTCTATTACTGCCTCTTTTTAGGTTTCAGGAGTTAAAATTAGTCATCCGCAACATTTGTTATGTTCTGGTTTCAGAATGATAAAGACAGAGAACAATTTAATACAAAATATGGTAATAGTAATGGCACCGACCACTCAAAGCGCTTTCACACTACATGCCAGATTCACCCTATCACACACCCTATCTCACTCAGTGATGGCAAAGCCCATCAAACAGAAACTAACGCATTTTGGGGTTCACTATCTTGCTCAAGGCTGCTTCGACATGTGGTGGGAGGAGCCGGGGATCGAACCAGACAAAAAATATAATTCAAACCTAATGTCCTGTCATCTGTAAGTTTAAATGTGTGCCCCAGTCAGTGCGGCTAACTTTATCTTGTGTAAATAATGCGTTTAACATGATCGATCTGGACATGATATTTTTTATGCAGCCCATGAATCATGACACACCCTTTCATGTGTTACTTTGTACACCTATACATACATTCAGGAATTTGGTGTCAAATTCGCAACGACCAGTGAGTGCAGTGTTGGCTAATGGACTCCTTACAGCACATTGAGTTCAGCAGCCCCTCTCTCATAATTTCTGCAGAGTAAACCTGAGTATCCGGTCTAGCAGCATGTAGCAAAGACTTAATTCCTTTTGTGAGGAAGGTTCTTAAAGACAAACCTTCAAAAGCAAGATTTCTTAATAGAGGGGATGTAACAAATATCCTCCCATAGTGATATTTTCACGGCAGGTAGAAACAGGCCCAAATATTTCACTGAGTGACTGAGTGTTCCTATTTCTAATTGTAATATTTGCTTTAGAGGGATGCAGGGATGATGTATTGTTGTAGGACAACACAGCAGTTGCTGGCCAGTGGGACAGTGTGGCGAACAAAAGTTTATCATACTTACGTGTTTCATTCAGTAAGATAATCAGATCAGAAGAATCAGTTTATGAATTTTTAACCATAAATGCGATCGGCAGAAGTAAAAAGTTAGGCACATTAGGCTATAAACGAACTACACCACAGTCGTGTGACTTCACTGGAAGTGCAGAAATTCTAACTCAGTTCTGGGTTTTAGGACTCATTCCTGCAGCACTTTATTGGGGGCCATGGCCCAATGAAGTCTCCCTCTTTCTCTCTGTCCTTCTCCTCCTGAAGCTGTCCATGGTTCTAACAGTTTGTTAATTTGAATTTTCATCCATCCGCAGGATTTTCAGTTGCTTTCCCCTGATCTTGACTACACATAGGTGAACCATATGACTAATTATGTGACTTCTAAAACCAATTGACCACACCAGTGATGGTTTAGGTGTGTCTTATTAAAGAGGGTGAATACTATGTATTTTTTATTTGTAATCCATTTAGATAGTTTTGAATGGATTTTGAGACCCATTTTTCTTAGTGTCAAAAAGCCACAGTAAATCTACTTAACATGTTATACAACATAACAACTTCCAAAATACTGTTTACTGTTGTTATGAATATAATAACACAGTAAATTACTGTATGCATACATTACAGATTATAACATTCATGACAGTTCTGAGTTTAAAGTAAAAAATGTAGAAATGTTCTTGACTTTGACCATCTTTAGTATTCTGAGCTTCTTTTTTTTAACTTTAAACTCAGAACTCACACTTGGCACTAATCCTCTTCCGTAGAAATCAGATCAACATTTTGTGTCTTTGAAAACATATTTGCTGTTGAAAGTTAGTAGTATGTGAACCTTTCTACGGGACAGGGTTGAGCACCAACACAGTCATTGCTAAAATCTTTATATCTATTGTATTTACAACACGTAGCCTAAACAGCATTACAATTAAAGAGCATGGTCAACATTTAGTAAAGATGAATTTCAAACATGCATTCCTAATGGAGCTGCGGAGGAATTTGCAAATTCAAATCCCTGAGATGGTACTGGCAATGTGGTCAAACCATCTAATTAATGTTAGAAATGTTCTTCTATCTACAGAATACATGTGGATTTACTTGTCTCACAGCTGAGGTGCTACAGGGATGTTTACATTTTCTAGGAGGCATTTACAATGTATTTATGGGTTCTTTTTAAACCGAAGTGGCCTACAAACATCCCTCTCAGTCAACTCGAGCTCTATTTTTGTGCCCAATCAATGATCAGCACTGTCAGCTGCTTGTCCTCATGGGTACAAACAGACAAAACTAAACATTTTAATGGAAGCTCAGATTCAAGTCTTAGGATTTTGATGACATGAAACCATTAAATATCCTTAAATATTTAAATATTGTCAATGTGTTCAGGTCAGAAACTCTTGAAAGTAGGTTTGTGTGGTTGAGATGGGTATAGAATGTGTCAGGATCTGTCAGTTGTCATGCTGAAGGGATAAAACAGACACACAGATGGATTGTTCTGGTCACGGTGACAAAGGTGTGCAAATGAAAACCTTTGGCGAAAGAGTCCCTGACTCGGTCTCTGGTTGGATGGAGAACTGCACCTGGTCAACATGACAGAACCATTACATCTGTTTTCACTGTCGATCTGTTAAAACTAGTTATGTCTTATAAAAAACTGTTTTCCATTTAATCCTGTGCGCTTTTTCATGACTGCTTAGTACAATGTTTTATTTTTCTAATGTGTCTAAGAGATATAACAAAGTGGAAAATAAAGGAGAATGTTTGCTACTGAAACAGCTTCACATGTTGTCTTTATGTCCTAAAACAGCGGTTCCCAACATGAGTGTCAAGAC